TAAAAAAAAAAAAAAAAAAAATTATATAAAATAAGTTTTGTGCCAATTTGGGATATAGAAAAATTCATAAAATCCTATCATTTTTCTCGGATTTCTCCACCATTTAGAATCCCATCAAATCTTTTTCTCTTTTGAAATCCCATCATTCCAATCAACTGAGATTCTTTTTAAATTCAATTCTTATCAAATTCTAAACTTCCAAACACAGTGTTAGTTGACCATATCTAAGTGGGTCTAGTGACGGTCATGAAGAAAGGGGAAGAGATTTGAAATGGGCGAGCAACTAAATGGCCTAAAAATGTGTTTACTTTGGAATACTTGCATTTGACAAAGAAAATATCAAGTCTGCAACAATTCTGACCCAAATCAAATTCAAATAAGGAAGAAAATCAAGGAGAAAGAGATTTGCAGCGAAGATTTAGAAAAGACCAAATGCAGTAACAATTTTACTATTTTAATTAAAATCAATTTAATATTATTTTATCAATACTTTAGTTTGTGTGGATTCAAAAAAAATATTGAATAATTTAAATTTAGTAATGTGAAAAATAAGTTTTGCCACATAAAGTACTTGTGATGAAATAAATTTCATTATTCATTATTTTTAAACATAAATTCCATATTATAATTTACGAAATATATTCAAAATTGGAGTCGTCACAATTTTCTTAATTTATTATATTCTTGTTACCCAAAATATCAAAATAGCCATCTAAATCAAAATGAGCACTCCTCTAGTTTAATTCTCTCCTGTTAAGAGAGGATTTAGTGGAAATAGAGCGTCTATTATGAAAGAGAAGAAAGATTTTTGTACTTATAAAAAGAAATAAATGAGCTACAACCCGGTAGAAAACTCAGGAGGCAACAAATGGGCAGCTGGTACCAAAACGACTGGCCTTTTGTCTAATAATGTGATGGTAAAAGAATGTTTAGTTGCCGATTTGATTGCACAAATCATCAGGAAAATGAAATAAAAATTTCACTAGCAGCTACTGCAATGATGATGCAAGAATTATTAGTTGATCTACTCAAATATTTAGAAAAGATAAATGGATGGGAATACTTTGTTTTCGTCTTGAAGTAAACGCTTTAGTAAATCTACGATTTAATTTACTCCAATATTCCAAATAATAATCAATTTTTTAAACATAAAATTTATAGGATGATAAGGTTTTGATTATAATTTGCTATAGGACAAACTTCATTTTTATAATAAACTCTCGTGTTTTGCATTCATCCAATAAGTAATGCAATTTGTATTTTGCACATGAACTTGGCAGGTGCTAATCTCATGATAGCATTCGCCCGATAGCATTTTGACAGTACCAGAACCGGCTTTCTCTAATAGGCCAACTTAAATACTTTCATACTGGAGAAAAAATTGAGTTTGGTACGGAGAAATAAGAAGATTGTTTAGGAAACAAAAATATATATATAATTATCTTTTTTTCATAAGTAAATGTATAATTTTAACATAAAATAAAATCTGTACAAATTACAAGGGTAGACCGAGGTCCAATACAAGCCCAAATAGAGCTAGGCTAGGAGTCCAAAGAAAAACTAAGTGATGTGGCCCAACCGGCCCACAAGTAAATAACCGCCAACTGTGCCCTAGGAGGATTGCGAGGATTCTAACATTGTTCGAGTTCCAAAAATCAGTACTAAGAATTAACTTTAATCATAGAAAATGTCATAATTATCAACAATTGGAGGTGTCCCAACTTTTTATTTTTTATTATTTAATTTTTATATGGCGGTAAATAAATGTGGTCATCGTAGCTATTAATTATTATGATAAGAGTCTCTCCTAAACAAGCAAACTGAGTTAGCCCGTTTCAGCATTCAACCTAAAACCCTTTTTTTATTTTAAGGTATTCAACCTAAAACTTATCCAGGATGGAAAAGAACAAAATATAGTCTCTGTTTTTTTTTTTTTTTTTTTTTTTTTTTTTAAAAACAAATATAGTCCATTTCTTTTTTCATAGAAGTGAACATGTCCATTTCATTGTTTCAACGAAAGACACAATGGGCCATTACCATTACCTTTTCAAATGAACATGCAAATCCAAGTTTTAAGGCTTTTTCCTACTACTGTTTTTGGGTCACCCAATCTTTGTATGTGGACGGTGTTGTCCAGAGAAATGACTTGCATAGTTAGTTAGTTACAAACTTACATACAAGTAGACTACTAGTCCTCACAAGATGTCGTTGCACGTGGCCCTTAGAGCATCTCTCCAATGGTATTTTTTAAATTTCGGTATCCAGATTTGTCACGTATGAATTTTTAAGAATTACGATAGCATTTTGGATTTTCCAAATTTTAACTATAGCAAGTAGAAGTGGCAAAAATCCCTAATTCAATGGGAACCGCCCCGCCCCCGTCTCATTTAAAGCGGATTTGGAGAACCGTTTACTTAAATGGGGTGGAGATGGGGATTTTAAAAAAAAACCGGCCGGTTCAAGGAACTCAGATCCCCGCCCCAAAATCACCCTTGATTAATATGTTAAATTACTAGTTTACCCTGTCATATTGATATATTTACCAAATTAACTTTCACTATATATATATATTGTAAATCCCAGACTTCACTTTCGGACTTTCCTTTCAAACTCTATATCCTGATAGTGAGGCGACAGCTGCGACAATCTGACGAAAACAACAACCAATAGATAAACTGAAATATATGGTTTTTGACCTTCTGATTCTTGTAGATTTTGTAGTTTGCAGTTGCAGAGAGAGAGAGAGGGCAAGCTCAGAGTTGAGAACGAGAATAGAGATGGAAGCGATTGGGGAGGCTGAAACATATGGGTTTTAACTTTATGATTTGTAGTTTGCAGTTGCACAGAGAGAGAGAGAGAGAGGGCAAGTTCAGAGTTGAGAATGAGAATAGAGATGGAGGCAGTTAGGGAGGTTGAAATATATGGGTTTTGACCTTCTGATTCTTGTAGATTTTGTAATTTGCAGTTGCAGAGGGGGAGAAAGAGAGGGCAAGTTCAGGGTTGAGAACGAGAATAGAGATGGAGGTGATTGGGGAGGTTAAAATAATTTGCCCTAATCGGTTATGGGGCGGGGGCGGTTATGGAGATTAGAGGGAAAAAATTAACCGGTTATGGGACGGTTTTGGAGGTACCAAAATTAAACGGGGGCGGGGATGGGAAATGGGAAAACCGCCCCAAACTGTTCCATTGTCATCCCTAATAGCAAGTGCTCTAATAGTGCGTTTTCGTTCAAAAAAAATTTAAATTTTTTAATAAATTGTTTATTTATTTTTTTATATCTTTTTTTTGTTTTCTTAAGTTTTTCCTAACGGCTATATCATATACAATAAAAGAGATAAATAAACAATACAATATTTATTATTATGGATTATAACAATTAAAACAATACCATACCATATGAATTTTAAAAATAATAATATAATATTATTATTAAAATTATTTTTCTCCATTTTTTGTCCAAAAAAGCCTTTAAGACAAACAATTATAAGTGTAAGTTAGTGGTCATAGTTAAAAATGTTGATTGCTTAGTTCGATCAAATTCTGAACTAAAATTTGAACTAATTCTAAAGCGATAGATTCTATGCTTTAAACTCAATAAATGCTGTGTTTAGAAATACCAATTAATACTTTCAAATTAGAATTTAAAAAAAAAAAATCAAATTAGAATTTTTTTTAAAAAAATCAAAATTTGTATGTACAAATGGTGTGTACAATATTATAAGAGCAAAAAATTCCTCAGGAAGAACAAATAATGCTACAATATTATTCAAATCAGAAGAAAAAATCATAAAACAGTAGGGGGCCACAGTAATTATTCAAATATGCATGTTAAAAAGAAGAATTTTAAAAAATAGAAAAAAAAAAAAAAAGAAAGAAAAATGAGAGAACTGTAATTTGAAAAAAATTAAGACTCTGAGTTGTTCAAGGAAAATTTGATTTTTTTCTTTTAAAAAAATTTAATTAAATTGAAAAGTTAAAAAAGAAAATATAAATAAATAATAATAAAAAATTTAAAAATCACAAAATTTAGGGCACGTGCCCCGTAGACCTTGCCTGCGTCCTGATTGACAAAACAAACTCGTAATTAATTTTAAAATTACCATACAAATTTGGTCTACGAGAAATTACTACTATTAAAAGATCCTCCTGTGGTACAGACTGTATAGTTAAATTAGAGAAACAAATTCATAAATATTTAATAAGTTACTAGAAAAAAATTCTGAAAATGAGATTTCATAAATGGTACAACACTGCTTTACACGGTCTAGATCACATCACATAGTAGTTTGTAAACAGGGATGGCAACGGGCCGAAGTTGGGGTGGAGTTGGCTAAACCCTACTCTGACCCGTTAAAAAATTCGTCATACCAACTCCGGGACGGGTTTATAATTGGTATACCATCCCTGCCCCTACTTCGTTAGACAAAATACCGACTCCGGCCCTCATACTCCGTTTAATTGCGGTAAAGTTAGAACTGTTTATTTAATTCCTATACTTGGGATATAATACTAAAATCTTGAATCTTGATTGATTCTTGAAGATTGAATCACGTGCACAATTGTGAAATTTTAGTAAGTGAAATTTTAGTAAGCAATGATTTTAGTGAATATTTAGTCAAAATATATTAATGGACACTTAACTTAAATATAAATATATATATATATAATCGAGGACGAGACGGGGTGGGGTGGGGGCATCACTAAATCCGCCCCCGCCCCAAACCCGCTTCTGATTTTCAATTCTTTTACCATATCTGTTCCAAACCCATTTATGGAGCTACCAAATTCGCCGAATCAGGAGCAAAGCGGGACAAAAACCTAATGGGTTGGCGGAAATTGCCATCCCTATTTGTAAAATTATCATGACCGTCTATTACAAAACAAATACTAACTGTGTGCTGTAGAGAATCCAAACTCTCTTAGGTTTGTCATAATAAATGGCGCGTCATCAGCACACATATACATATATACATATATATGTGTATATATAAAGAGTGAGAAAGTGCCGCAATAAATAAGAATTCAAAAAAACAGATCTGCAGACATGGAGAGAGCGAGCAGCAAGAGAGGAGACGAAAAGGCGGAAGAAGACGGGGTCGTCGGAGGACCATCGAAGAATGAGGTGGAAGAGGAGTCGATCGAGCGAGTCTTCGAGAGCAAGGAGGTACCGCCATGGCAGAGCCAGCTGACCTTGCGAGCCTTCGTCGTGAGCTTCGTGCTGGGGATTCTCTTCACTTTCATAGTGATGAAGCTCAATCTCACCACCGGTATCATCCCGTCGCTCAACGTCTCCGCCGGTCTGTTAGGGTTCTTCTTCGTCAAGACGTGGACGAAGTTCCTCCACAGATCCGGTCTCCTGAAGCAGCCTTTCACTAGGCAGGAGAACACCGTCATCCAGACCTGCGTCGTCGCCACCTCCGGCATCGCATTCAGCGGTACGCACGCTCCTCTCTCTCTCTAGATTTTCTCTCTCTAAACCTTTTTGGCCCACATTTCTAACTGATTGTTGTTTGTTACGAATCGTACGAGTCTGGATTGTGATCAATGATTCTGGCACATGGTGTTGTTAGGGTTTTACGATTTGACGGTTATTATTAGTGTAGTAGAATCTGGAAAGAAATAGTGGAGTAGGGGTCTTAAAACAATTTTGTTAAAGAGTTGGGGTCTATGTTTATATTTAGAGTCATTTGAACCAAAACAAGCATGAATAGGCTTTACGATCGCGTTGCAAAACTGATACGAGAGCTGATTAAAATTGGACTACTAGGTTCATCATTGTTTTTGGTCCACTTGATGCAGAAGAAAATATCAAATCGTCTGCAATGGTGGTTTTGGGCTTTAAGAATAATTTATAATTCGGGTTTCAACCTATACAAAATTAATTTTTTTGCGAAATTGAAAGGAGTGGTTGTTGACAAAAAAAAAAAAATTGTTACATGAAATCTTATTTATTTATTTTAATGCATTGGCAATTTCCGAAATTTCATTTTCGGATAAGTAGGGTTATAACAAAATTTGATTAAAAAAGGTTGGTCTATGTTTGAATTAGAATCAAAATAAGCAAGTTTAAATTTATGACACATGTAAAGATGTAAACAGTGCAACAAAAGCTGGCTAATTAAGTATTAAGTTGACCAATTAACTGATTACTGTGTTTAGTCCACAAGATCATCTTCATGGTTTGGTCGTTGATAACATCACTTAATGGCGGTGGGTCCCTTAGCCAGTACTACCCGGTTCCATATAATGATTTGCCACGTGTAAAATGAAATGGCCTAGTGATATTCTCTTGTCTTTGTCAACTTGTTATTGGAAGTTTGGCATGGGTGAAACTCAGAACAGTGTCTTTATTTAATTGTTGATAAACTTTGGACTTTTTGCATTTTCCAAAAAGTAGTCATCCAACGAGACCCTTGGGATAGTAAATACATGGCCCACAAGGGCCACGCCCATGTCAGTCACAAAACTCTGATAACATCTCCAGCGGTAGTGAATATATTTTTGTGTAATCCACCACGTGTCGTACTAAGGCCCGATATAAATTTTACAAATCTACTTGTTTAACTTATTTTTTTACGATTAAACCTCACGTTCCAATCTTCCTCAATTAGGAAAAAAATAATAATTTCCTCCTATGTTTCACTTTCCTATCCCGCCAAAAAAATTTTTCCTACCAGAATTCTAACTTAATAATAAATAATAAAATTGAGTAATAACCAAAAAAAGAAAAAAGAAAATAATTTGTATAATGGCATAAAACAACAATTATATAAAAACATAATTAAAATATATATCTAAAATCTAAAAAAACTAAAGTTCTTATTTTGCTGTCAGTTGCATATTCTTATTTATCGTGCTGCGAGTGGGAAGGGGGAAGAGAGATAAAATATGCTTACGTATATTTTACACAACCTTTTTACACATTGGTGATGTGACAGTCTATCCTAACAGATTGCTGAAAATGAAAAAGATTTACAATTCATATATGGCAGTGTATATTTTACACAATTTTTTTTTAACATATCACTAGAGATGCTCAGAACAATATCTTTTATTCTTTTTCTCACACGTCACCACAACTCACATTGAGCTGTGATTGTCTAACAACAGATATGTGCCCGTGATTGCTTCTCTATTACCTTATTTTGAAAGATTGTATTTAAATATATTTGGTAACCCTTATTTTGAAAAATTACGTTTAAATATGTTTGGTAACTATTAAAAGTATTTGTATAGTGTTTGAATGAAACTAGAAATTAAATATTTTAAGTAACTATTTTTCATTGGTCAATTATATTATTTTTATTATTTATAAAGATAATTACACTCATTCTTTAATTAAGTTAATATTATCAAATAAGAAAATGATTCATGCACCAAATAGTTACACTGAATTCCTAGACCTACTTTTTTAATTAGTCAATTAAGTAACAAATAAGGAAGTGGAACCCTCCACTTAGTTGTATTTGGTATAAATAGCCAATAAAAATTATTCACTTAATTTACTGCAAATATTCGGTGTGAATATCATTACTCTATCAAATATGATAACATCGATATTATTATAAAATTAGCAATAGAAATATTTTAAAAAATATTGTTACAAAATAATTAAAAAACAAGTAACATATCTTTTATTGACAACAATTTTTTAATAGCTACATTGATAAAAAAAATATTTTTTTTATTCCAACATCAATCCCAAATGGGCTCTTCTCAAACCATCTAATAATTTTTACACATAATTTCATTGTCTGTTAAATCACGAGTTGGGATCCTCGATTATAGTATAGGATTGGACAAATCTAATTACTCACATGTATGATCGTTTGAATTGACAAATAAGTTTGAACTTGTGTTTCTTACACTTTAGGTCGAGTTCAGGTTGAAACCTCAACTCACCCGAGTTGCACTCTCAGTTTAAGTCACTGTGAAGTTGCAATTACTTGTGGAAAACATACTCCATGGTGATTCCCTTTTTAGACTGACTTTACCAACAAGGCATCAATTTATATTGTGTGTGGTTTAGTTATTCTAAAAATCAAAAGTGCAATCAGGATGGTCAAAGTAAGATAGCAAACTATGACATCATGGTGATGAAATGTTAGTCTGATAGTTTTGCAATTAGGATGATCAAAACAAGATAACAAACTATGACATGGAGATGATGAAATCTTAGACTAAGAGTGGTGCAAATTTGGATGGTCAAAATAAGATAACAGACTGACATGATGGTGATGATGATGGTGAAATGTTTTCCCACCAAACAACAATGATAACTTTGTAGACAAATTAACATGTTTATTTGTAAAAGCTATTTATCTTTTTGAACTGCTTTGTAAAATCATGCTATTTTTACAGTAATATAATATTTATTCACTCTTAATTAAAAATTGTTAAATATAATTCAAATGTTCAGATTTAAAAATAATAAACAATAATTTTAATTCAAGTTGGATTACATTAAGTAGGTATTATATCCTAATTACAAAGAAAAGAAAAAGGACTTCATCTTCTTCGTATGACATGACATCAAATCCTACTTTATCTTAATACAAGGAAAATGACATTGGTATCCCACTATTTAGAATATCATTCCTAGTGAATGAGCCATTGTTGGCAAATAAATCTGACCGTGAAAGCCTTTTGCTGTCTACTTATTAAGTTTTGATCCTTATTTTTGCTCTAATTTTTAACATGTTTCTTGTTATGAGCAGGAGGTTTTGGTAGTTACCTATATGGCATGAGTGATGTTATTGCTAAACAAGCAACTGAAGCTGATAATGCAGCGAATATAAAAAGTCCAGCTTTGGGATGGATGATTGGATTTCTTTTTATTGTTAGCTTTCTTGGACTCTTTTCTGTGGTACCTCTTCGAAAGGTATATTCTTATTTACACTCAGTTATACCTGATGTATAAACAATTCTGTTTATTTTGTCACCCATTTCATTCAAAATATACGTTTACATGTATAATCTGTTTCAGATAATGATAGTAGACTTTAAACTGATTTATCCAAGCGGCACTGCAACTGCTCATCTTATCAACAGCTTCCATACTCCTAAAGGAGCCAAGCTAGCAAAGTGAGTCTATGAACAAATCCATTTTTACTCATTCAATCTTAGAAACAAGTTATTTGGAGAGGGGTTTGAGCCCGGACGTGGACAACACGTGTGTGTTTGCTTCACCATTCAAAAAAAAGTTTATCTTTTTTCTTGATTTGTGTTGTTCTCATCATTTCATTACAGGAAACAAGTCAGATCCCTGGGCAAATTCTTCTCATTTAGCTTCTTGTGGGGCTTCTTCCAGTGGTTCTTCACTGGAGGGGATGATTGTGGATTTGTGAACTTTCCAACATTTGGTGCCAAAGCTTACGAAAACAAGTACATATCTATTACCCACTTTTTGTACTAATTTCTTTGTGAACCATGCTAAAAATGTGAAGGTCCAAGTTTATTTTATTAGCTTGAGAAGCATACAAAGTTCTCTGACCTAAGTGTGTAGGGTTAACGTACATTGGATAAATTTACTTAGTTGTTTTCTCTTCTTGTTCAAGAGATCTGATCTTCTTTGCGTTTTGTTTTTGTTTTTCCCCCAATAAAAAAACCAGGTTTTATTTTGATTTCTCGGCAACTTATGTCGGTGTTGGGATGATCTGTCCATATATAGTAAACATATCGTTGCTTGTTGGAGGAATTCTCTCATGGGGTATAATGTGGCCACTTATAAAGGACCGTAAGGGCCATTGGTACCCTGCGGATGTCAGCCCAAGTAGTCTCCATGGGATTCAAGGCTACAGGGTAACTTTCTTGTTCTTAAAGCCTAGGTACTCCCAAATTTGGACCATCCTTCTAACCTATCCTTTGTCATTCATTTGTTACAGGTCTTCATTGCCATTGCCATGATCCTAGGTGATGGACTATACAACTTTGTCAAAGTCCTTTATATCACCATCTTCGGTCTATATCACCAAATGCGTGGAAAACGTTCAGCGGACGCCCTTCCAGTTGATGGTCGATCTGCCCTACCGAATTCTTTATCTTATGATGACCAATGCCGGACCCAACTTTTCCTCAAGGACCAAATACCAACATGGCTTGCAATTGCTGGCTATGTAATTATTGCTGTCATCTCTGCTGGAACACTTCCACTTATCTTCCACCCACTCAAGTGGTACTATATTCTGGTTATATACATATTTTCGCCCATATTAGCCTTTTGCAATGCTTATGGATGTGGGCTGACTGATTGGTCCTTGGCATCCACCTACGGAAAGCTGGCAATCTTTGTAATCGGGGCATGGGCAGGAGCCTCTAGCGGTGGAGTGCTCGCGGGATTAGCAGCTTGTGGGGTTATGATGAACATAGTCTCCACTGCATCTGACCTCATGCAGGATTTCAAGACAGGCTATATGACCCTGGCTTCACCCAGGTCCATGTTTGTGAGCCAAGTTATTGGTACTGCAATGGGCTGTGTTATTTGCCCTTGTGTGTTTTGGCTCTTCATCAAAGCTTTCCACGATCTCGGTCTCCCCGGTTCACAATATCCCGCCCCTTATGCTACTGTTTACCGGAACATGGCAATTTTGGGGGTTGAAGGGTTTTCAGCTTTGCCAGAGCACTGCCTTACACTTTGCTATATATTCTTTGCTGGAGCAATATTTATCAATGCAGTAAGAGATCTTGTCGGAAAGAAGTGGGCACAGTATATTCCTCTACCCATGGCAATGGCAATACCATTCTACATTGGATCGTACTTTGCGATTGATATGTGCATTGGGAGCTTGATACTCTTTGTTTGGAGGAAGTTAAACAAGGCCAAGGCCGATGCATTCGCACCTGCTGTGGCTTCGGGTTTAATTTGTGGGGACGGAATATGGACTCTGCCTAGTTCCGTTCTGGCTTTGGTAGGTGTGAAACCACCCATCTGCATGAAGTTCCTGTCACAGAAAACTAATGTCAAGGTTGATGATTTCTTGACTGGTCTCAAATCTTAGATTGGTTAGGCAAGTGGTATGTCTCTGTTTCAGGTCTTATTTTCTTTGTTTTCAGTTTTTTTTTCTCTATTCAAACATGGACCAAATTATTCATGAATGCTAGAAATTAAAGTCAATTCCTATGCGTTTGGTTTGGGGATTTAATTTATGAAAAACCAATTATAGAGATGGTTAACTGATTTTAGAGACTTTTACTGTTAGTAGCTGCATCATGAGACAAGGTGAAGAGTTCTCCCCGTCTCTACCATCGAATCCAAACCTCTTCTCATTGTGTTCCATCTCCCGCCGGTTTTGTTAACTTAAACACGGATGCAGCTTTTGTCTCTTCAAATCATTTCTACGGTGGGTCAAGTTTTTAACACGCAAGGGATGCAAAAATGAAAGAAGTAATGGGTATTGCTTAGTTTGTAATTCAAAAAAACGGTTCTCAAGAATTTTGAAAATAGAAAATTGTTTTAAAATAACAATAAGAGACAATTATATGAATGGACTTTTTTATAACAGAGTTTTTCAAAAACAATTTTCAGAAAATTGAACCGAACTCTTTTGTACATTTTTTTAATTTTCAGTTATTTAAAAACACAGACCCTATGGTTCTTAGATCTGGTCTGCAACTGGAGAAATTATTATATGAACCAAGTCCACCATCTCATTTGCTTAGTTTGTGGACTACACTGACTAATTCTAGACCGCGGTAATAAAATCATTTTTTATTTTCAACACTGTCATTTTTTTTTATAAGTTGTCAGGTCATCAATTAACAGGAACAAACTCTTTTTTCAGTCCATATTTTGAATCCAGCACGCAAAGAAAAACTTAACAAATGATTTCTCTTTCTTGGTTTTCTTTTCCTGCCTTTCTTTCTCATTGGTTTCGTTTTCCCGCCTTTTGCTTCATCCAAATATCAGCTTTCAATCCATCTTCATGCAAAACTTCTTTCTCTCTCTAAACCATCATAAGTCCCTGTTCTATTTTTCCTCTTTCATCCATGAGCTTTTCAGGTACATTCCTTCATTCTATAAACAAACAAATTATTATAAAAAGTTTATACTAATACTAACATCATCATACATGAAACACATTAAGATACTTGTTTTTTTTTTTTTTTTTGTTTTTTTTTTTTTGTTTTTGTTGTTTATGTAGAAAAGAAAAGATGTATTGCGCAATTTTGGGGCCATTTTTTTTAGTTGAACTTTTTCCTCTCTCTAAACCATCATAAGTCTCTGCTCTATTTTTCCTATTTCATCCATGAGCTTCTAGGTACATTCCTTCATTCTATAAACAAACAAATTATTATAGAAAGTTTATACTAATACTAGCTTCATCATACGTAAAACACATTAAGATACTTGTTTGTTGTTTCTATTGTTTATCTAGAAAAGAAAAGATGTATTGCACAACTTTGGGGCCATCATCATACATAACCATGTACTTGCAAAGCCTGAAGAAAGACACTTGTTGAGGTCAGGGCGAAAGATTACTAGTACTAGTGCAAATATCTTGAGTTCCATATCGAAAGTCGGTATAAGAGCAACTGAGACATACTCATACTTGTCTAAAGAGGCTAGTGGAGTTCAACATGTTGGGTTCACAGAACGTGATTGTCATAACTTCTTACAATCTGAAAAATAGAAATCAATAGAATTAGGAGATGCTCAAAGTCTCATCAATTATTTCAAGTGCAAGCAATCAGAAAATCCAACGTTTTTTTTATACAGTTCAAGTTGATGATCAAAATCGAATGACTAATTTTTTTTTTTGGAAAGATGGTTCCTCTAAATTGAATTATCAATATTTTGGAGATGTCGTTATATTTGATATCGCCTACCGGACAAATAAGTACAATATGATTCGGTTGCGCTCTTTTATTGAATGAAACAACAGTTTCTTTTGTGTGGTTTTTTGAAGCATTTTTGGAGGCGATAGGAAATAAAGCTCCTAGTACAATTTTCATCGACCAAGATAGTGCAATAGCAAATGCTCAGGGACGGATGCACATTCAAGGGTGTGGGGGGCAATTGCCCCCACTGAATTTTTTTTTTTATAGTATTTTACCTTTATAATTTAGTCATTTTCAGTAATATACCCATGAAATATTACATTTGCCTCCACAAAATTACTAAAAAAAATGCACTAATGCCCCCACAAAATTCATTTTTGCCCCCACTTACCTTACATCCTGCCTCCGTCCCTGCAAATGCTATACGTAAGGTGTTACCTAACACGTGACATCGCCTATGCATATGGCATATCATGAAAAATGCAGCTCAAAATATTTCTACTTTGTTTGCAAATCCAAGGTTTAAGGATAAGTTGACAAAAGCTCTTTTATGGTTGTGAAACGGAAGAAGAATTCGAGTCCATTTGGGGAAAGATAAATGAGGAGCATGACATTGTAAGGAATAAATGGTTGAGTAAATTGTATAACATTCGTGAGAAGTGGTGCCAAATTTTTAGTTGTGACACATTCTCGACCAATATTTTATCAACACAAAAAAGTGAAAGTACAAATAATATCTTTCAACATATTGCTTGCAAGTCCATGATTTTTACTGAATTTGTGCAGCATTATAATGAAAGTGCAAGTCGAATGCGTGAAATTGAAGTGGCTGATGATTTTACATGTGCTAGAGGTAAGCCTCCCTTCCTAATACTAAATATTTGTACTTTACTCCATGCAGCTCAAATGTATACACATAAGATTTTTAAAATGTTTCAAGCAGAGTTCTTAAAAGTTTTAAATGAACAAATTATTCGTGTTGATTCTGTTGGGGAACTTCTCATTTACACTTTGAAAGGCATGGGTTGCAATAGAGAACATACGGTAGAATTTCACTATTCTAATCTCACTGTTTTGTGTAGTTGTAAAATGTTTGAATCTTTGGGCTTGTTGTGTCGACATGGTTTAAAGATATTGAATCATAATGCCATCCAAAATATTCCAAGAGATTATATATTGAAGAGGTGGACAAAAGGTGTAAAGGAAGTGACTATCATTGATGAATATGGTGAGATATCCCAGAATGCAGTAACATCGTCAAAGACAATCTTTTTGAACAAGCTCATGTGCAAAGCTTTTAGTGTTATAAGTTTAAGTGCATATGATGACGAAACATTTATGGTTGCAAATGGCCATCTAAACCAAATTCTACAATAAGTTAGAAATATTAAATCAAGGAATGTGATGGATGGTTGTGATTTTGATAGAGTTGATGTTGCAAATGAAGCAAATGGCTCAATCGGTGAAAATATGGTGTTGGATCCTCCCCGTATGAGGCTAAAAGGGGTAGCATATGGTAGAATTAAGGGCTGCTTGGAGAAGCGAAAGAAAAAACCAAAAAAAAAAGGATAACAACATCTGTAAGAGAAGATTTAAGGGTTTCTTGCTCTCAACAAATGGTATCTAACTCCCATAATCAGGTAGATATAATACAAGGTGTATGTGTAGTCATTCATATAGAGGTTATCTTATAATTGTTATTTATTTAAAAGGTTTGTTACAATATTCCATATAGGTTTTTGGATATCATAAAAGTCTTTTTGTAAGCTTTCAACAAATGCAACCTTTTTTGCTAAATCAAGCAAGTCACAATTCTGATAAATTTAATCAGGTATGAACATTTCATTTTCATTTTAAACATGAATAAATGTTTAAATTATCCTTTATATCCTAACTTTTATGTTTTGTATTTGCTTTAGTATTTTTGTAGTTGTTTGAGAAATGAGACCATGGAAATTGTGAGACTTCCTAAGAGAGCTATATGACCATTTTCTCTGTTCGTCTTGATAATTTTGTCATTTTTCTATTCTGATGAAAAAAAGAGAGTACATTTTGCTCTTGATTTTTGTAATGGAAGATGAATCCCAAACTGATGTACAATATTATTTTTATTAAAGCTTTCGTTATTGTTAATTTCGATTTAGTGGATTGTTTTTCCTCTTCTGGGTTCATGTTTCAGTGAATTATTTCTGGGATGTGTTCTACATATCATCCTTACATGATAAACAAGTTCATAACAATAGAATATAAAATATAAGGTTGATCCAAAATTCAGGAGTATTGACAGAGCAGGGGTTTTAAAGTTGGAGCGGCAATCAAATTCACTATCTTCTGAATTTTTCATTCTGCATCCTGAATATTTTTAAACAAATACAGAGTAATAATAATTGTTTTCTTAAAAAAAATGTGATGTTTTTAATTAGATTTGGCATAATCTTCATAAGTTTGATCAATTTTGCTGATTTATGCAAATTCATTTCAGAATATGTTCAAACTGATAGATGATAGTGAACCTTTTCCCTCAAAAAATTTTAAAAAATGAATATTGCATTTTGGGTAGTAAAAGCAATGATCTATCGACAACATCAATGATGTATTGTTACATTCACCCAATAAAATTTATTGCCTTGTAAAGAAGCATAAAACCTTAAAACTCATACAAAAAAAAAGGTCATACAGTACCACAGAAAAAAAAAAAAAAAAACAACAACAACTAGATCACCCACTTACGTTTGCAGCAACAAAAAAAGAAAGGGTATGTCATCCCTTTGGTTACACCATGTAAAGGAAACCCAAACAACCCAACATCCATCTGTCTACACGATTCAATCATTCTTCGAAAATTTCGAATCAAACATCGAGGCTTCAGAGCACCAATTTTTTTTTCTTGGATGTGTAGAATATAAATCTCCAACGAGAACCCATCTCAGCCCTAGTTGTTGTTGGAGATTTGTAAGATAGTTTCATTGACGAGCTCGAATACCATTCGTGCATAAAGAATATAAATCTATAAAATACCATTATGGAGAATTGAATTCTGACGACATAACTAATCCGGAACTCAGATTTCTCAATCACTTCCACCCCAAAACCATCCCTGTTTCCACTGTGACCCGCTCTCTTCAATCATTCACAAAGTATTATATAGGAACTTATTTTGAATAAAACTTTAAGATAAATGGAGAGAGGTTTGAATTCTTGAAATTTGAATTGTTGAATTAGAGAAACGTGGTTAGAAAGAAACAATTTCTAGAAAGTTGCACACATAAAACAAGAAGGGAACAAAACCTAAAGAAGGAGAAATTATTGACTGCAATGGAGGTTCCACGTCAATTTGCTGACAT